CATAGAGAACACCAACACAACCACACTTGATGGAGAGGCTCTGGAAGAGGTGGAATCTTTCACATAGCTGGGATGCACCATCGACGAACAAGGAGGATCTCATGGATATGTGAATTCAAGGACTGGCAGAACAAGGGCTGCATTCCTACAATATAAAGATGTCTGAAGTTCAAACCAACTGTCAGCCAACACCAAAGTCAGAATCTCCAATACAAACGTCAAAACCGTTTGATTGCACTGAGCTGAAACTTGGGGAATTACTACAGCCATCATCAAAAAGATACGAGTGTATATAAATAATCTTCTACGCAAGATACTTAATGTTCCTTGCCCAAGTGCCACCGGCAACAGAGAACGAACCAACTTCCAGCTAAAGATGGAATTAGGAAAAGATGTTGGAAGTGTGTAGGACATACATTGCTGGAATCATCAAACTGCATCACGAAGCAAGTACTAATTTGGAATCCTGAGTGGGAACGAATAAGAGAAAGATCAAAGAACACACTGCATTGGAAATTGGAATGTGGTGTTTGAATGAACTAATGATTCCTTTGTACTTGTTCAATGCTTGATTTCGAATTCTAAATACAGTACGTTCGTCTGTGCTTATCTAGTACTTATTGATCTGAATACGTTATTTCTGGGATTCTTAGTTCATACTATGATTCAAATACTGCTAATCATCATATTGGGGTCGCGATGGAGCCTGTGATGGAATTGTTGGATATACATTCAGATCTTGATGCTTTTGAGGATTACTTAGAAAGGTTTGAAATTTGGGCTATGACTAAGGAAGATGATGAAGATATTAATATTGTAGCAAATTTCCTCACATTCATCAAAAAAGAAGCAAATAGCTTATTGAAAACTCTGACTATACCGGAAAAGCCCATTTCGCTTCCTTATACAACTCTCAAGGATCTACTGCTAGATTATGTTAAGTATACAGATTTAGAATGTGGTAAATGAAGGAGATTTCATAAAATGATTCATGTGGATATAAAACATTCCACTGCATTACATCATCCCAACCCAGTGCATACTCAATGTTATGCAGATAATTCATTGAGGAGTTGAGATGCAGTTCACGAAGATGGGCACAAGTTTGGTCAATGCTTGTCCAGTGGCAGGTTACACTCTTTTAATTTCTGCAAATTTCGTAATTCCGAGCGCTTTAAATGTGGTGATATTGGACATATTCAGTCAGTTTGTAATACTGCTGTTCATCTTGCTACAACGAATATTAAGTCTTGTAATTCTGATTCTATTAAGTCGAGTATTTATAATGATCATTTGTTTTCATCAACGATTTCAAAAGACAGTGTAGAGTCATATAACACTTCAGAGTTAAATGAAACTCAGAATCCTTGCGAGACAACAATTTCCAATCAATCAACTTATCAGAATTCTCAAGTTATTGTACCAGATATAGTTTTTCCTAATGATTCACATATTGCTAATGACATTTCTTACAAATCTGAAGAAAATGTGTTGGATGAACCTGATCATGATCAAAAACCTGATGTAGTTTCGATGGATACTGATTTTTCTAGTGATCCTCTGCTCTGCAATGGCACTCTTAGTAAATTCGAGGGAACTATTTTCTCAGGAGGCCGGATCGTGGATGTTCACTACTGAGGAGTCCCATACTAGGACGAAACGGCCGTCCAGTGCTTCCAGGTTTTCCATGGTGGTCTAGCTTCAATTGAAATATTGTACGTCCTCATAATGCATTTGTTTCTTGTGGGAAACGTGTTCAGTGCGAAGCACAAGTACTAAATGAGCCCGATTTTGATTACGACTCGGATGATTTCATATCAACTGTTGTTTATCTTTTTCATAAAGTCACTTCTAATGTACACTGTAGTCAGTGTGTGAAATGTGCTTTAAATGAAGCTACATCATTCATCACTTGGGAATATGAAGATCCAACATTATTTCGTGTGGGAGGATAATGCTTTAAATTCTATATGGTGGTTTCGGTACACAACTGACATGGCGATTGTATACAATCCTAGGAACCAAATAACACAGAGTTTTTATCCAATAAAATGTCGGACAGACAAAGGATGATTTTAAGAAGACGTACAATCGATTACGGACATTCGGACTCTAATTTAAGTTGTGGCACATGTGGTGTTTGAATGAATCAATGATTCCTTTGTACTTGTTCAATGCTTGATTTCGAATTATAAATACAGTACGTTCGTTTGTGCTTATCTAGTACTTCTTGATCCAATTGCATTATTTATGGAATTCTTAGTTCGTACTAATTATCATAATTCACTATACATTTTGTATTACACTTACAAAATTTCGTTGAAGGTTTATTTATTATCCAGCAGTTGAATCTGAGTAAATATAAATGATTAATTGGGATCCTTATTACTCACGAGTTAGATGTGACACAACAGGGCAATTTATCGAACTCGTTTGGAAAAGTCTGTATGACATATCACCGTAGTAAGTCAATGAAAGGGAACCCCAGTAAAAATCCTGCTGTTCACTCGAAAAACTTAGTCAGCTCTCACAATATTCTGGCCAACAAGTTCCTTAACCTTTAAAAGCAGTTCACGAAAATTCATTAGGGATACGAGCAAAGTAGAGTTTAGACCTAGAACAGTCACGGAGAGTCCGATGAGTATTAGCGTCAGTCACAGTGTTTGGTCTAGGTGTCTTTAAAATGTAAGAGGACATGATTCAATCGGCAGAGCGAGAGCAACATATTTACAACTGAATAACATCTGGAATTCAAAGCAACTGTCAACCAACACCAAGGTCAGGATTTTCAATACAAATGTCAAGACAGTTCTACTGTATGGGGCGGGAACCTGGAGAACTACGAAAGCCATCCACCAGAAGCTACAGGTGTTTATTAACAATTGTCTACGCAAAATACTTAGGATACGTTGGCCAGACACTATTGGCAACAACCTATTGTAAGAGAGAGCAAGCCAGATCCCAGCGGAGGAAGAAATCAGGAAGAAGTGCTGGAAATGTATAGGACACACATTGAGGAAAGCACGGAACTTCATCGCAAGGCAAGCCCTCACATGGAATCCTCAAGGCAAAAGGAGGAGCAGAAGACGGAAGAACACGTTATACCGAAGAATGGAGATAGACATGAGAAAAATGAACAAGAATTGGATGGAATTAGAAAAGAAGGCCCAGGACAGAGCAGGTTGGGGAACGCTGGTCGACGGCCTATGCTCCATCAGGAGTAAAAGCCGTAAGTATTAAGTAGTAGTAATAACGGAATCAAATAAGTGAAATAACGAGGATGGACTTTTGAATATATATATTGTATATGAAGCAGATGGAGTAGAGCGAAGCGAAACGACGCGCAGTGGAGATGGCGGGTAGCCAACTTCCATTTAACTAAGCGTCAATCAATATATATTACTTACTTACTTACTTACGCCTGTTACTCCTCGTGAAGGAGCATAGGCCACTCACCAGCATTCTCCATCCAACCCTGTCCTGGGCAATCCTCTCCAGCTCCGTCCAGTTGTAATTCATCCTTTTCATATCTGCTTCTATTATCCGACGCAATGTGTTCTTTGGCCTTCCTCTTTTTCGCTTCCCTTCAGGGTTCCAAGTTAGGGCTTGCCTCGTGATGCAGTTTGACGATTTGCGTAACGTATGTCCTATCCATTTCCATCGTCTTTTCCTAATTTCTTCTTCAGCTGGAAGTTGGTTTGTTCTCTCCCACAGAAGGCTATTGCTGATGGTATCCGGCCAGTGGATGTTGAGTATCTTGCGTAGGCAGCTATTTATAAATACTTGTACTTTCGTGATTGTGGTTGTTGTAGTTCTCCAAGTTTCAGCTCCATACAGTAGAACTGCCTTGACGTTCGTATTGAAGATTCTCACTTTGATATTGGTTGACAGACAGTTGTTTTGAGTTCCATATGTTCTTCAATTGTAGGAATGCGACCCTTGCTTTGCCGATCCTCGCCTTTACGTCTGCATCTGAACCTCCTTGTTCATCGATGATGCTTCCCAGGTACGTGAAGGACTCTACATCTTCCAGAGTTTCGCCATCAAGAGTGATTGGATTTCTGTTTTCCGCCTTGAATTTGAGGACCTTGGTATCAATATATATAGTTACACAAAATAGCTTCAAGAGATGTGGTGAATGGGATAAGTGCACACCCATACGTTTATATAAAAACAGTCAAGATTGAAAAGCGAATAATGAACAGGATCACAATATGACTCAAGTAGAATGAGTAGATTTCCCTGTCCGAAAGCCAGAATAAGGTGTGTGGGCCTAACATAATAACCGATATTACGGTTCCTATTGGAATCTGACTGAGACGTCTCAGACTGTATTCTTCCTTCCCTTTTCTAACGGATAACTTCTAAGTTCTAGTTTGAAATTTCGCTTGAGTATATCGTCCGATGACGTAACACGAAGATGTTAGTGCAAACTGGCATGGGACGGACTGTAAAGTGGGGGACTTACCTTCAGGCTGGACTCAAAAATGTCGACGAATGTGAAATACGTGAAACGTTTCTACTTTCACCTCGTACTTACGCCAAGAAGTGAGACAATAAAAAAATCATGAAAACCGCACCTTTGTCACACTCACAGCAGATCTTGAGGTTGTATGGGGGCTAGAGAGGGATATTTTCAGCTTATTCTGAACACGAATTAACGCATTCTGAGGACTGGTAGTACAGAGTATTCATTATAGGTTTCTCGGATAAGTTACTGTCTAATTAGTCTGACGATTTATTCTCCTGAGGAATTGTCGAAAGGGTTTGGATATCTGTTCTTCTGAACTTGAATAATATATAGAAAAATTAGCTCTGAGACACAACATTTGAAGCATATAAGCTAGAAGGCAAAGATACCCATTACTTTACTAGCTCATATAAAAATATTAGATATTCAGGGTGTAAAATTAGTTTGAGATATGTATCAGTACGGAAAAAACAACAGTCTATCTTTTGTTCCACCCAAGTACAATTGGAACTATTTAAATTTCTTTGAGTAAAAACTCAGCGGGATTTTCATAGCAATTGCTACCGATGATCATTTTGGAAGTTTGTAACCGAGCTGTAGAAGAAATTCTAGTCACCAGATTTGAACAAGCAAAGGAGGAGTAAAATCACAGTTAACTTAAAGCTTTTACACGTTTAGATCCAGATATGATAAGATTGATTACACCGTTGCGGATTTCGATAGTATTGTTTACACCATAAGTAACCCAAATAATGATAAGAAAAAGATACTTGTCAGTATACTCATTAAATTCTTCCATGAATTGAACGAACATGGAGTAAATGAAGTAAGTAACTGACTTGAAAACTACGCATTATATGTTTATAAGTTCAAAATGACTGATTTTTTTGCATTTTTGATTTGTTAATGTTCGTCAAGAGATCGACTTTTGCGATACATTTTTCTGCCTTTGATTTCATATGTTCACCACTTATTCCGGTAATAAAAGTCTATTTTTTCGTCATGTCGGATGAAGGGTCTTGTCGTCGTTTTGTGATACGAAGTTATGCTGGGTATCCCTTTGAAATCAGGTTCCACCGATAATATCTATCTGACATTTCTTTAAGATTCTTATAATAGCTTATCAAGGAGGTTACATAATTTATCTGACACTTTCTGTAAGAACGTCACGCGTACTTTACCTTAATAGTAGGATTAGTTAGTGATTTGTCACCTACAACTTTGTTGTATTGGTTGCAGGAAGGCAGATTTTAAGTGGTCAATTGCCTTTTTGTCTAGCTACAGTTTACCGGACGTTTGAAAGTCATGAATTTTATTAGGCAACGTAGTGGTCTGAAACATTTTACTTTTAAAACTAAGACTACAGAGTAGTGGCATAAAGAAACCCTTCGGTAGATTGAGACGTGCGCATTGTAAGCTGAAGTGTCATGGAGTCTTTAGGAACAATCTTTCAATTGTAAGACCTCAGTTAATCTCACTGCTAATACTGAACCACCATCCTTAAAAATCTCAGGAGTAAACCTGTCAGGGCCTGCTGCTCTCCCTCGCTTCAGATTTCCTATGGCTTTTTCAACTTCGTAAAGAGCGGAGGACCTACATTAACTTGCCATTCAGGTTGACTGGAGATCGTGGGAAACCGAAGTGTGGCTGAAGGCCAGTTGAACTGATCCCTAAAGTGTTCTGCCCATCGATCCAATCTCCTGGATTGAGAATGTATAATATGTCCATCTTTCTCTGAGATTGTTTCGCTAACAGTCGGTTCCTAATTCCGGTTTCCTTAACAAGTCTGAACAATTGTCTGCTATTACCTATTGCCGCTGCCTTTTCCATCTCTCTTGCTTTCGCTACCCACCACTGTTCACGATCATTGCGTAGACTTCTTGTCAGCTTGCGCTTAAGCTGACTCCGCTCTTCATTATGTTCAGAGCCAGGTGGAATGAGTTTCCGAGCATCTATCAGTGCGATAGATGCTGCTGAGATCCAGTGTTGCTCCCTAACCTTACGGTTTACCTTACTAGCAGATATCACTGCTGTTTCCACAGCTTTTCGGATATCATTCCATGCTGCCTCGGGGTGGGCATCACATACATGGCTGCCTAACTGTTTTCCTAGTTGTTCCTGAAATATACTCTTAGCTTGACTATCATTAAGTAGGCCCTAAGAGGTTTCCTTGCAGCGTCTTTCCTACGTCCAGTAAGACGCAGGCAAATACGCGCTCGCACTAGAGCATGATCTGAATCTAGGCATGTGCTCCAGAATGAGCGACAGTCTTCTATCGAGCCCCTCCATCGGTGGCTGATAGCGATGTGATCTATTTGGGTCCAACGTTGGGACGAATTAGGGGGTCGCCATGTTAAAAGATGTTTTTCCTTATGCTTAAAGTTAGTATTTGCAAGGAACAGGCGGTTATCTGAGCATAGCTGCAACAGACGGTCGCCATTATCTGTTCTTTGAGCCACGATGCCATAAGATCCACCTAGGTGTCTTTCCCTATCGCTTAGTTTACCTACTTGAGCATTAAAGTCACCGGCCACTATTACTACATCCGAGCGCCTAGCTTTTCGGAGAAGGTCGGAGAGCTTTCTGTAAAACTCATCTTTTACATCATCTGAGCTGCAGTCAGTGGGAGAATAGGCAGAGACGACGAAGAGGCAACGACGAGTGTCCCTATCTTTCCGGATCCTTACTGTTCCGTTCAGTCGGACAGCGCACAAACGACTGTCTACTGGGATCCACTCTAAGAGAGCTAGTTCTGCCCTAGGACTCAATGCTATACCTACGCCGGCGAGGCCACGGGAAGCAGAATCAGGGCTTCCAGATACACGAAGCGTGAATCGAGTCGGTTCTTTATTTTGGCATGGTGAGGTCAAATGAATGACGCTACTAGGATCCTGTATGCGCGTTTCGGAGACGCAGCACACATCGATGGCGCGGGATTCTAAAGTCTTAGCTAAGGAAGCCTGCTGTCCTATTTGGCACAGTGTTCGTACGTTAAAAGCTCCTACGTGTAGTTTAGAGCGTGGTTTCAGGAGACCAGGAATGGCGTTCCACGTACTCGAATCGTTTGCCCTAGCGGTGCGAGGTGATAAAGAGACGTGAGGAGGGTTAGTCATGGAGATAAGAGAGGTATTAGGAGGTGTAGGAAGGATTTGAATGTGACCAACTTGGTCTCGTGTGCTGTTACGGGTATGAGGGCTGATGTCACTTCCCGGCTGCCCACACCGTGGAAGGGTATTTCTTGAGGAACCTGAAAAGGAAATTGGATTAGTGTTGGTCTTGACGACCTGGGAGCGTGACCGCAGAGCCCAAGGGACAACTGCTTGAGGCCGGTCGCGCACGGCCTTTTTGTGGAAGGTTTTTGATGTGTTAGCTCCGTTCTTCAAAGGGCCTTACCGCCGGAGACGGAAATCCGTGAGGTAAGGTGAGGTGTGACATTTTTAGGGTCGACCTTTTCTAACCCCACCCCTCCTTGTGGGAAGGCAGCATCGCTGTCATGCTGGTTGTCCGAGGGAAACACCTTACTGCTGTCACACCTCTCTACAGTCAGCAGTACGACTTCGCCCTCAGACCTTGAGTTGCTGCTTTTAGTCTTACCGTTCACCAATCGACCTGCCTGGCATGGTAGAACCTACAGGAACATATGTTCCAGCCAATATAGCTCGGTTGGGTCATCACGATAGGCAAGCCCGACCACCACGTCAAGGTAGCAGCTTCGGTCCAGCTTATGGCGAACTGTCATCAGAATTGATTACCTCATGTGGTGTTCGTCAGGGCTACCCACACTCTCCATTCTTATTCAACTTTGTCTTCGACGTACTTTTAGAGAAAACACTTTCCTCGTCTAAATTTCCAGGGGTTGAACTTCTACCGGGAGGTTCACTTGTTGACTTAGAATATGCAGATGACATAGTTTTATTTGGTGAAGACGCTGACAAAATGCAGAGTCTTCTGACCACTCTAAGCAACGATGCAAGCATGTTCGGGATGCGATTCTCCCCCTCGAAATGTAAAATGTTGCTTCAGGATTGGGTTGCATTGACACCCGAACTAATGATAGGGAGTGAAGTAATTGAGCGTGTCGATCGCTTCACGTATCTTGGAAGTCTCACCAGCCCTTGTGGTCTGGTGTGTGACGAAATCTCAGCACGGATACAGAAGGCTCAACTAGCCCTTACCAACTTGCGTCATTTATGGCGTAGGCGAGATATCCGTCTAACAACCAAAGGACGAGTTTACTGCGCAGCAGTTCGTTCCGTCCTACTTTATGGCAGTGAAACATGGCCGGTAAGAGTGGAGGATATTCGTAGGTTACTAGTATTTGATCATAGGTGTCTTCGAAATATTGCTCGTATATCGTGGGACCATCGAGTAAGTAATGCAGTTGTTAGGAAACGGGTACTAGGTAAGGATGGCAAATCATTGATGACGTAGTGAAACTTCATCAGTTGAGATGGCTGGGACATGTGTTACTTATGCCCAACGACCGACTGCCTCGACGTGCGATGTTCAGTGGTATAGGAGTAGGTTGGAAGAAAGCTAGGGGCGGCCAGACCAAAACATGGCACAAGTCCATGAAGTCACTGACAAGTGGACTGAGTCATGTTGGTAGGTGTAGACTACCTGGTTGGGGACCGCGAGATGATAGCAACCGATGGTTAGAGACCCTGAATGACATGGCTCAAAATCGTTTGCAATGGCGCAGGTGCATCCACTCTCTGTGTCCTCCCAAGTTCTAATCTTCTGAATTCTTGTCTCTTTTCAAATTTGTTTCACTGGATTTTACTCCTTGAATAATATCTTCAAACCCTAATGTTTCCGATTACTGCTTATACTCTTACTACCTCTCCCACTACGGGATTTGAATCGACCACTGCATCTCTGTGCTAATGTGGTGTGGCAACTCGAACTGATGTACGTACGTACGAAGTTCTACGTTGTTACTGACTGACTGACACATAGCACTTCAGATCACTGTTTACACCTCTCTGTTTCTTTTATGATTATTATTATTATTATTTTAACATATAGATATTGGTACAAGGTGACACCAAATACACTTGTGATTCTTAATACATAAGAGGTATTTTCTAGTCATCTTATAGATCTCTGTCGTCATCGTCATCATTTATTATAGCCCTTTGTAGGTTATATATTTTCAGCATAGCATTTATCGGTCTTATAACAAGTAATGGTATGCTTTGTTTCAATCTTAACCGTTTTTTCTCAAGGTATTGGCTCGTGAGTATGGTGATTTTCTCTCTTCAGCAGAGCCCAATAAGAGCGTAACCTTATGCATAGATTTGGAAAAACTACCTCCAGATCATAATCAGTTAGCTCATAAATGTGGTCTTTTAAAAAGAAATTGTATGGCAGCTGTTTTTGAGAAGTTTTTCGAATATCAAATTAAATCTAACGTGGATTCGGGTTCTAAGAGGGCGGTAATACATTATAGAGACGATGAGACAATGTAAGTTATTCTATTGGATGTGTCTGTTTTTGTTAACTAAGGGAGTGGGTAGTATGTCTAGTGTTTTTCTTAATTGCTTATGATAATCAAAGCCTTTTATTGTTTTGCAGCAAAAAATTTAGTTATAATTGTGTTTAGCTTAAATTCGTTGACCTGACACTCCGTACTCTTGTGTAAGTTGTTATACTTGTGCTTGGATGTATGAGGGCTAGTGACACTGGACAGCTTTCCAAAGTAAAAAAGAGGGTGAATCTCACTGTTTAAACATGTAACGTACTGGTTATAATCCTAGTCTTTTCAACCACTAACCCAGCCGCCCCTATATTTCCAGGTAATACGGTTATATGCACTAAAGTTACATGTTTTATTTATTTATTTATTGTTCATCTTTTTCCCAATAGGTATGTACAAGCATTAGCTGATCGAGTTACAGTTATCTTTAGTACAACATTTAAAGATCCAGACGATTTGTTAATTGGAAAAGTTTTTATGCAAGTATGTGTAAATCTGTTTGGTATTTATTTTTTTTTTCAGTTCATTAGTTTTACTTTGTACTAAAATGTTGGGGAGCAGTAGCTTTTAAAAATAAAATTTCACCAACAAATTTATTCTTAGTAATATTGGTTATATGTAGTAGTAATAGTATTTGGTAGATGGAATCTAGTCGGTAAGTATCCTTCTAGACTTATGGAATAAAGGAATTTACTACATCAGTGTATGAAGGTAAATACTATCTCAACTACATTGAAAAGTGAAGCATAAAAACCGTAGTTTAAATGTGACATGAGACTAGATAATTAAAAGTATGAGGTAATTTATACTAAGCTGCGAATTCAGAGAAAGGTAGAGATTAAATATAACCGAATCATTGCTATCAGTGTTAGCTATGTCATTAGCTATATAAATAGAATTCAGCGAGGAAAGTTTTCAACGAAATTATTTACTTAAGTTATATATTCGTATTTATAGTTGTATAGTAAATGTGTCTATGAACAATTGTCTACGAAAGGTACTCAATGTCTGTTGGCCGGATACACCATCAGCAACAGCCTATTGTGGGGTAGAACAAACCGGTTTACAGCTGAAGAGGAAATTAAGACGCTGGAGGTAGATAGGATATACATTACAGAAATCACCAAACTGCCTCATGAGGCAAGCGCTAACTTGGAATCCCGAAGGAAAAGGAAAAAAGGAAGACCAAGGAACACACTGCATCGAAAATTGGAAGCAGACATAAAAAAATGAATAGCATCTGAAGAGAATTGCCCAGAACACAGTTCAATGGAGAGTGATGGTGGGAGACCTATACTCCTCCACAAGCGATAACAGGCATGCCTAAATATATGCCTATAGGAAGACAGAAAAGAATAATAATAACTAATTATGGTCTAAAATTACAAAACACTCATTTTTTGAAAAGCAACTAAGACATACTGCAGAAGGAAACTAAGGCAAAGGAAGGATAATAGGTTGGACATATCGTTTTCGTCGAAAAAAAATTTTCTTTGCGAATTCTCTTTATTTTTATTTAGTGACACGATATTTTATTTTAATTAATTAACTATATCTTTAAGGATAAATAAATGAGGATAGTCTTCCAAATTCTGACCAATCATACATCTGTACCTAGTATCATGATCCATTTCTGAAGCTACTGACCAGAAATACAATAGGTTCAATACATAACATTAAAATGGCGGTGATTTCTAGTAACAATCTATTCATAATTAAACTTAGATGACCTTTTTTGACTTCAGTTTATGAATTATGTATTGGGATGTTTTTTAAACTGTTTGGATTTTTATATTCAAATATGTACATCACAGGAGTTCACTGAGGTAAGAAGACGTCTTGATCGAGCACCTCAAGTATTGTATTCTCATCGCGTTCCACCAAAAGAATTACAGGGAACTGATGCAGTTATCAGTGACTCAGTTGCGTACATTACTTTTGGTAAGTCGGTCAGGTTATTTGTCTTCTACGTTCATAGTCTAGTTGTAATTCTGCTTTATAAATTATTATCCTATGTTGACTGGTATAGGAAGGAGTAGACTGTGAGAAAAGCTTAGGGATAGCAAACCGAGACATGTTATAGGTCCACGATATTATTGGCTGTTGGATTAAGGCATGTTATTAGTTGCAAAGTACCTGGTCAGTGTCCTCGGGATTATAGTAACCAATAGTTAAAGAGGTTAAGTGACATAGTTCAGACTCATTCACAACAGTTCAATGATGCATTCACTCTTCTCTTTGATCATAAGTTCAAAAACAACCTTACAACTTTTATTCCCAAAATTCATTGTTTCATCTCGAGTCAAACTGTCTATACCTAATATTTTCTACTATCAATAATACTGTTACTACTTCTACTATAGCCATTTGTCTTGAAATGATTTTATCTCTTTGTGTGCTAATATGGTGCGTAAACTTGAACCAGTGTAATTATGTATCAGGTTCTACGTTTCTTATAACTAACTGAATGAAATTTTATGATGATGATGATGGTAGTAGTAGTAGTTCACCATCAAACTATAACTTTTACAATTTGTACATACTGAACGTGTATTATTTTGTTTATGTGTGCATAATTAGTAAATGAATTAATTACAAATCAATAATTTAGTAACAATTCATAGTTTGTAAGTATTTTTTTCAAGGTTAATATTCACTATAAATATTATTATCATTTCATAGGTACAACTATTTTTTAGAAATCGAAATTGATTCTGGTTGAAAACTAGTTAATAGTAAATTTTCCGTCTTTCAATACGCATTTATATATGCCCTGGTACGGCCGAGAGTGGGAAGAGTCTGCTCTTCCTCTCCAAATGCTCTCACATGGCCACGCGTATATAGCCTCTGACAGGGAAGTCCTACTCACTGCCTTCTCGTGGCGGGGGTGTTGTTTACGAAAATGAGAGGACGAAAAGCGAATGTCCGGCGCTTTAACCGGATTCCAAATCAATGGTGCACACGGGCTCCAGTATCCTGCGGGAACAAATGACGTATGAACCAATCGTTGGTCACCGACTTTCATAGGACTGCATCTCCTCTTGATGCTCCACTGCCTTGTGGATCAGACCTTCTGGTCGAAGGCTCGGGGAGTGGTCCCATAAGAAAACCACCTACTTCGGTTTGGGCACCCGGGCAGTATCACAACCCTCATACATATCGAATGAGATTTGTGTGTCGCATATGTATTTGGTGCCTCCTTGTACCAATATCTATGTGTTAAAATAAAATAAAATAAATATATGTATATATGCATGAGAATTGTATTTTCAGTATGGGGTTGTGACGATTATTGAATCCCAAATTAAATCACGAACTGACCTAAGTTAAACCATTATTGAAAACCTGGAAGCACTGGATACCCCTTTTTCTTCCCAGTATAGTTCTCTGAATGTTGGTTATTTATTTACTCTGATGAAGTGGTTTACATTAAGTCACAAAACGTCAGATACGTAATTTTTCTACTCATTGGGATATAACAAAAATATATTTATTGATAACTTTATACCCAATGATCAGTTTATTTGAAACTATCAAGTTCAACCTTGGTATGGATACCTATGAGTTACAGATAGTCTACCGCAAAAACCACTAGTACTATGAAGTTGTGTACACCCTAGAATGAACATTTAGTAGTTCATGTTTTACAAAAAAATGAAACATCATATAAACAGTATTTATGTTAATGATACTTCTAATACTTAAAGACTTGATACTGACTTATTAACCATTCGCCAATTCCGTAGTATCTCTTACATTCGAAATCCGAACTAAAGATTAAAGGCCGGGAATTATGAACAAGTTTTACACTGAAGGCTGATTTAAGTTTTGGTCGGGCGTGATAGTCTAGAAGCTTCAGGAGACATTCTAGATTTGGTAACAAAGGCAGCTATTGATCAATCAAGAACTTTAAGAAATGTTTGTTAGACGCTAATTGGACGAAATGTTTTCAGCCTTTTTCCAGCTTTTAAGGAATTTTTGAAGGCTCTCAACAGTCAGTAAAAATATTGAGTTCGTTTTTAAAATTAAAAAGTACATATTGTCAGTATATAGTTGTGGAGATTGTTGAATTTGAATGAAATCACGAACCGACCTAAGCTATACAACCATTGAGAACTTGGAAGTACTGGACGACTGTTCCGTTCTAGTGAAGGACTCCTCTTTGTATCGGTTCCTGAGTTCAGTAAGACTGAACATTCTCCAAAACCTCATACTGAAAGTTATCATTTGCTTACTTCTGACTCCAGTGGAGTTCAACCGTATCGGGTGTAAGGAAGGTAGCTAATGAAGACGATGAAAGACGGTCGCGCGACATCGTCAATCGACTGAATTTGGACTTGTTTCATTGAATCCTTGTGCTTAGTGGTCTAGAGGTGAGGTGTTCTTGTGCAATACCGAAAGTCCCGGGTTCGATTCCCAGTTTTGAGGTTTTGGATACGCACTGCTCAAGTCTCGTATACTAGGACGAAATGGCCGTAAAGTGACCCCAAGTTTTCGATGATTGTCTGACTTAGATCGTTTCATGGTTTCAGTAATATTTTTATGTAGTCTTCAAAATGAAAAAGCATACTTATCATGTCATTTTTTAAAATATTATTCACCGATAGATGCATTCCTGGGCGTTTGCATCATTTTCAGTAATCAAGTGTGTGGCGCATATATATTTGGTGCCCTCTTGTACCAATATTTATGTGTTCAAATAAATAAAAAAATCAGTAATCAAGTATAGGTTTGTACATTGGAGCTTTTAGGGCTACAAATACTATTTAGCTTTTCAGACTGTCATAAAATCGGTGAATGACTCAACTTTGGAAGCTTGTGTTTCTAAATTACTAAGATGCCGCTTGTTGTAATATACTTACTGGTATACATGAATTGGGAAAGCATCCATTTTATGATTCCTCTCTATATTTTTGATATTGATAATAGTCATTAGTTTTGCTTTTCCTGTTATATATATATTTCTAAATCCTAGTGCTTTTTCCGCGTCATTTATCCACTGAATCTGCGCGTAATTCTACCATCGATTTAATACAAACATTAAGAAACTATTTACACTACCATATTAAATGTTCCAAAGCTTATATGCAAATGCGTATGCGTGCTAAAACAGTGGAATTCTTGAAAGTACTCAACCGTGCCCATATTGAACATCCAACAAATACTGTGATTAATACCAATATTACGACTGCTTCTGGTGAACCCACGCCTATTTCACCATCAGTGAACAAAATCGGTGGTATACAAAGTGATAATATGTATGTTATTATGTTTTTTGTTTGTGTCTATGTGTTTGTTTAAGTGCTAGACCAGTTTTTTTTGTTTTTGTTAGGTCTCTAAAATACTAACAAAGATGTCTATGAATGAGGTTGTGACTCTTCATCAATTGGTAGTAGCTCAGTGGTGTAGCTATGGTTGAAGTATTTGACTTTAAATCCCAATAGGTGTTCAAAGCTTCGAACTCATTTTCATCTCATTTGATTTTGATAGTCAATTCTAATGTCAAATAGCCCTTGTACAAACATCGTAGCTTAATGTCAACTACATAAACACTTATATTTGGCAAATAAATAAGTTACGTCACACATAGTTACTTTATTTACTGAGTAGTTTGAGAAATTCTATATACTTAATCATTTATAACTCAGTTGTCTATACTTCCTAGGATATAAGACAAGGAGGTAGGGAGAGTCAGGACTAAAGGCTTAGCATGACCACTAGGCTGAGACATAGGATTGGACCATGAAGGAATTGACCGTTAGTGTGAATACGGTGTAAGTAAATGTTCAAGTTTCTTGGTTCTACGGAGTTCTGAAGTAACCCTTATTCAATATTTGAAGGTTTTGTGCAATATGGGTCCATCATCACTGTACTGATATTAGTTTTCCGCTTTTTTATAGTTTTCCTTTTTCTGATTCATCTCTTTCTGTGTTGATGTGATGTGGTGACTTCTTAAGCTTCAATATTTATATATTTGTGCTAGACTTTTTATTGTTTACGTATGTGTTTACATAATGAATTGAATGAAATCACGTTCAATTGCGACCAAGTGACTGGTCGGTTTTTGTATTCTTTGAATAAAAACATAAAAGGTTTTGCATTATATGCTCTCATCTAGGTTTCACATATTGTTTAATTGTGTGTAATTTAAAAACACAACAGTTGTCTAGCAATATTTCATATCTTTTTAATAGCTTTTCACACTATTCATCATCAAGGTCATTCCTGAGTACTTGATCTATAGGATTTGAGCAGCACTAAAATAGTAAACAAGTGTTAGGTTTGTCAATACTCAGAGTGATCAATAGATTGTAAATACCTTAGTCCTAAAGGAGGTCAGTCACAACCGGAATAGCTTAGTTATAACTCTCGAGATTATGAATCTGGGTGGTAAAAGTTCGGACCCTATAGGAAGCATAAAATCTGTCAAACGTGCAGACACGTTTTAGTGTGATGAGTTTGAACTAGTACAAAACCAGGTTTTTTGTTACAGGCTGCTTCCAATCATCTGAGTAACTTCATTTTTTGTGCTAAGTTTCATTTTGATTTAAATTTAAGCATAAAATATTGGAATAGCTGGTTAGTAGTTAAATGCTAGAAAACTTTGAAATGTACTTTATTTGACTGTTTAATACTGAAGGAATTCACCATTTATGCGTGTATTTATCAATTAAGCAACCAATTACTATTATTATCATTATTGTTATTATTACCATTATTACTATCATTAGTGTTTATTGATTAACACTGAAGTGGTATGTATAATAATCGTTAAGATAATTCTTGATTTAATTGTTCTGATGTGATATAGTTAATTAGTTCAACAAAATATATTTCTATGCCTAATCTAAGCATTCTGAACATCCAATTTCTAGGGTTAGTTAGTTGTGATGGTGAATGAAGTGTAGAATAGTTATCATATTTTTCCTTGTATATGTATATTTTTCTTAAATTTGGATAGTGGTTAACATTGCAGTTCAGAACTCGCGTTTAGATCTAGTTGAGACTTGTCACCTGGATATACATGCCATATCCAAGTTTTTGTGTACATTTCGTCTTACTTCTAATGTCAATGCACTATCCATTGAGCTATTAAGTCCAGTTAGTAGTCATTGTTTTATATAACAGGTATAAATTTCATTTGTAAGAGTTCGTTTTACTCTTTTTTTGAAACAAAAACAAGTGGATCCAGTGTAGAATATCAGCACTGAAATGCAAATACACTCATCTGACGTGTTCTATATAGGATGAACCATGAGCGTTGAATTTCACTATCAACCAATATTCAACTTATGCATAAATGTCAATATCTAGGCAGTCCGCTCACAACGTGCGTATATTATCAATAAAGACTGACTAATAAAGGGAAAACTCAAACCTTCACTGATATATATAATATACTATGAATATTTATTTCTCGATACTATCTGATTACATAATAAGAATAATATAGTTCTTTTTTGTATTGATCGTTTGAATCTACCCATTAATTAGTCTCTTATTGGCATATGTGCATATTGCCTTGATATAGCCTTAATTCACAAACAATAATGAGACAATATGCATATATGCCAATAAGAGACTGATCAATTGCAGTCCTAAACATCAATCGGAACATTCAAACAAACAATACCATATGATATGTATATACATATATATAATTTCTAATGATGAACTCACATTCAATTTCTTTCTTTCTTTCTCTCTCTCAGTGGTCGAACAATGCGTACAGGTTAATATTTTCAATCAATCAATCAACCAATTTATTGATTGATTGATTATAGGAGAAGAAAAAGTAAAAAGAAACATTCTATCACAACGTTAATTTCTTTTATTATTCTTTACTCTATTCACTTTGATATTTTATTATATTTTTTTTTAAAAATATAGAAATATTCTTAATTGTTTATAATATCAATGATAGATGTTCATTAATTAATTAATTGAATATCGAAGAATAATTACAACGATATTTCAAAATAATAATAATAATAATCATGAATACTTTATTTTATATATATACAAATATTATGTACTTTTTCCAAGTTATTTTCTAATGATATAATATATGTGTCTATATTTTTGTTGCTATCCTCCCCACCCCCACTTCCTATTTTTTTCTCTTTGATTACTTTGAATGTCTTACTGATTTTAATTGGTATTCCATCTGGGAGGGGGGGTATTCTCTCTCTCCCCCTTGTGCGCACTTGCTTGCTTGTTCGGTACTCTTTTTTTTTGAAGAAAAAAAATCTTTTTGGCACATTCCTTCCAGTTGGTGATATTTTTTTATTGTTGTTGTTTCATTCTCTTCATTGATCATTCTATCATTGATATGGAACGAATATCTTGAGTAAGCAGTATGTGAAAGTTGATTAAAAAAAACTGGAAGACAAAAAAAAGTGAAACGTAAAGTACAACATACCTGTTATATTCCTTTTTTTTCTCGGATTATTATTTGATAACTTCAATTCATTTGCTCGTTTCACACTGTATACCACCATCGTTTTCTTTCTATCGAGAAGAAATACATTCCTCTGATTGCTCATCATTCCTTCCTATAACAAGGATATATATATATTGAGAAATGGTTACAACTATTTTGTTTTTCTTAGTAATCCCATTTTGTTAAACATTACGTTGAATAGCTAAACAGGGATTAATTTTCAATTACTCAATTGAGTATAAATGTTAGAAGTTTCATTCCATATACACATCTATTTTAGCATTAGTTGTCAAGGCAATTAACTGTATCAATAGATGAATCTTCACATATACAACAAATAAAATAGTGCCTGAAACACAACCATCTATACACACTTATCGTTGGTGGTCATCCGGTGATGATAACGATATTAAAGTAAATGAATCTTGCCAATTGTATTATTTCTGTATAATCTTCATTCTTTGTTGTATTTTTTTTTGTTCTCAATAAATAACCATGACTTTTACTGTGTATGTGATTTTCTTGTTACTTTTATTTTCTCTATATGAAAACTATTTTGTCTTTCTATCCATCTATCTATATAGATATATGCTGATTTGTTTTATCTATAATAAGGCTAGACTATATAGTTTGTCAACGACTAATATTAGTTTCTATCCTCTCTCTCTCTCTCTGTCTTTACTAATATTATTGTAATCTCTGCCAATGTATATCTTTAGTGCCTTTTGTTTTCTATACTACTATTTATATGAAATGCATCAATTTGTTTTTATAGAATTTTCTATGTATGTAGTTTGTTTGTTTGCTTTTGGTTCTCATTGATGAATTCCCAGTATTCCTCTATGACGTAATGCATAAGTCGGTGGTAAGAGTTAGTGCATAGTTTCTTTAGTCAATCAAAAACAAAACAATCACTCTTTGTTTTATTGGAAAGAAAACAATAATATTATAAAAATCTAAACAGATTTCATATCATGAATCTCTCTGCAAATAAATGGAATATACATTATCCTTTATGTTGAATGTCTTAAGAGTTCTCATATTGTTTCTAGTTAAGATTATTAGCTACAATAAAAGAAATGTTCTGTGAGGATTCGGCTAAATGGATTTCGTTCAAAAATCTGTGAGATCCTGTTTGATTAGTTCGTTCATAAAATGTAATGCTACTAAGTTAAGGTTTGTTTTATGATTAAGAGTCAGTCAGCTACAACATAGCACCAGGCACATATATGCATCGGTTCAAGTTGTCATACCACATTAGCACAGCAAGATGAACACCGGATTCATAGAAGTAGTTAATTCAGTGGTTGTAATGCATTAAAGAAAGATTGCATATAAGGATATAGTACAGGAAGAAAGAATTAGTTCATATAAAGAAAGATATGAAGCGATTTTAATCTCTTAGTTTAAGGGAAGACAAAGAGTGTGCACACCTACGCCATTGTGATCGATTCTGAGCCATGTCACCCAGAGTCTCCAACTATCGGTTACGATAGTGACGCTGACACCAACCAAGTAGTTTGCATATACCAACATGGCTCAGACCAGAAGTTAGTGACTTCAATGACTGATGCGCAACCGGATGTAGAGATAGTGTTGATTTGGCCGTTACAGACAATTGAGAGATAAATAAAAATAATATATTTGTAATATCCCAATGAGTAGAAAATTGGATTTTTCTGATGTTTCGTGGCTTAGTGTAAGTCACTTCTTCAGAGAATAAATAACCAAATTAAATTAATCCAAGTTTAAACAGTACAACGGAACAATGCAAGAATAATATTTGATCAATCAAAAACAGGTTTGAACAAGTTGATGTATGTGATTTCTGTCAAGGTGATTCATAAGTGATAAGTATGTAAATTTGTGTATGTATGTATGTGTGCATTGCTTAAGAATGAAAACTGTGTGACCTATATGATAAGAAAGGATAGAGTTTAAATTTGTAATATGATAGTGTGAAATTGTAAATACGATCAGACTGAATGGTTAGGATAGATGGTCCAAGTAGGATGTATGGTAAGACCTTCCTTTCTATTGAGAGAAGTAGGATTAAGCATTATATGGAACGCCTCAGCTACCCTCCTTTCTTTGTAGTTGGAAAAGCCTTTTTGCAATATTTTGATATTTTTAAAATCGATTTGGTGGTTGTTGAAAATGGCATGAACTGCTATTGCCGATTTAATTTGAAGTTGGTTCAATTCTACGGGATTGTTCGGAGGTTTCTTTGTGTACCTAATATGTTCTTTGGCTCTAGTCATGATTTCGCGGGATGACTCTCCAATATAATAGGCATCACAATCGATACAACCTAATTTGTAGACGCAGTTCTGTGTGGACATGAAAGGGATTTTTTCTTTCAGGCGAACTAAAGTATTACATAGTGCGTTCGTTGTTTTGTAATACACTTTAATTCTGTGATGTTTTAAGATTCTTTGAATTTCTTCTGAGAGATAGTTGGGTATTTGATGTATTCAACACTATCATTTCTTATCCTATGGTGGCTAAGAATTTTTTTTGTCATAAAAAAGTATTTTTACTGCCCACCATACGTGACATTTGAATTCAACGCAAAATCATGTTGTCGATCCTGATCAGCTCGCCCTATATCTTAATTCTACCACAGTTATTTTAAACTTATCCATAGATTTCTAGATAGGAAATGTGAAAGAGTATAGTACATACGGACTAGTTTGAATGGTTCTCAAAATAACTGCATAAATTTGAAGCCAGTTTGCAACCAATCAACAGAGAGTTCTTCTGATCAAAAGTAAAGTGATGAAACTAGTTGAATAATATTTAAGTTCATTGATTGTTTAGAGCATATTATCGGTTTTCTGATCTTAAGTTTGTAGGAATATAACTAAATAACCTCACCATGTACTACAAACACTTTATTAATAAGTTTACTGAAAAAGAAAGTGAAATAGAATTCTGACTATTGGGTCAGGGTCAATGCGGATTACGCTAGTTTATCCATTTACACCCAATCTGTGTTAATATATATATCGGTAATATACTATAAGCTTCTTTCATAAACACTATAGCATCGTTAACACAGTGGGCCAATCAAAAGTGACTAAATGAGAAGACGACTCTGCACTAATCATAACTCTGCTAATGACAGATGCATGTGATCAATAATGTATAAATGAATGTTCATGCATGTGAACCGGATTAGCCCAATAAGTTCTCACTCTGAGTCTCCTCATTGAGTAACCAGTTGAAAATTTTCGTATAGGAAGTACGTATCAGTATCCGTTGTTGAGATGGAGAAGATTTCTAGCTCAGGTGAACATCGTGCGTCATAGCAACTCTATATTCCGTTACTCGAGTTTATTGAGATATATGTTCCTAACCAATATTGATTCTGATTTTGGTAGATTTGTTATGTTTAAGATATACTAGACAGTGAAGACTGTAACACCTATCCTATGAAGGTGAGAAATCAACTTGTAGAAAAAATCAGTAACTCTTTCTCAACTATCATGTGAACTGTAGATTTTCTTAATGACTATAAAAAAATAGTCAACATACTAACTTGGAGATTTGATATTGTTTTCTAAAAAAAAATCAGTAGCGATGACTTAGATTTTGGTCAATCTGTAACACGGATGCAAATTTTTAACATTTCTGTTATGTTCAGAAGGGGTTTTGTTGAATCATCAGTCAGTTGAAGCTGGACCACCATGGAAAACCTGGAAGCACTGGATGGCTGTTTCGTCTTAGTATGGGACTCCTCGGCAGTGCGCATTCATGATCCCGTCCCCTGCCAGATTCGAACTCAGGACCCACCATTCTCGCACGCGAGCGTTTAACAATTAGACTACTGAGCCGGTATCCAACGGTGTTAATGTCTAACTTCAAACAATCCACGAAGTTGCGCCACCGTACACCATTGTCTTCAGTGAGCTGATATCTCACAACAGACCTAGTTGAACTCCACTAGTCACGGCTTCTCACTAGAACTCCAGAAGTATATCTTGAAGTCAGTAAACAGTGAGCAGATGCTTATTATCAGAAGGGGTTTTGTGGAGATTTTTAGTGTTTCCATGGTGGTCTAGCTTCAATTGACTCATGATTTCAACTATTGAAATTTCTGTTATGTGTTTCTTTAGTCTTTAACTAGTAAATTTATATTACTATTAGTATAGTTTTCTTTCTGTTACATAGTTGGATGTTGCTCATATAATCAATACAAAATCGTGTATCAGGCTTTGTGACTATACTTTAAGTGCAAACTCTATGGAGATTATCAAGTTTCCAAAACTGAAATAGGTAGATTAGAGTTGCAACCTAGTGATTAATAGTTGAGAACTCTATTTACTGTACTATCTCTCTATGTTTTAATGTACAGCATTGGAATTTATAACAGAATTCATTTTATTACACTTGAGTACAAAAATTCATGATTAAACCACATATTGTATACACATTAGTATTGATTCACGGTAAATTATTGTTCATTGTAGTGACTATAAGGTCAAATGCATAATAATTTTTGTGTTAATTTTGTACGTGAGTAAAATTCTTCAAAGAGATAACTATACTGTTAGAATAGATTATGAACAGGTCACAATAATATAAGAGAGAAATATTCATCAAGATAAAAGGTAAATATCTTTTATTCGCACTTTGAATGCGGAATTATCGTTTATTTACACTTCTGAATGATTTGAGAACGCTTTACATTTGGTTCAATGGAAATGAAACTGTAATAGTCAAGATTAAGAACTATGAAAGTTTAGAGAAATAATTCATAAGAAATTATTGTTCTATACAGACTCGCATCATTGACAGCCACTTGCACTCTATGGTTGACATTGATAAAAAGTCAATATTGGATAATGTATCTGATTTGCACGAATTAGTGTTTCAATAAGAACATTGTGTGAAATGAAATATACCCTTAGATTGGTGTAGCTTCTTG